CGGCCGAGAGGTAGTTGGTGCAGCTCTTCGGTGCTCCTTCTCTCAGACAGGCGCTTGTATGTTGGTAGAGCAAAGGGGGTTGTGCTGAAGAGGAAGCGATTGGCGGACTGCCCCAAGTCCATCCTTGAGCGCCAGGATGAGAAGGACGCCAGGTCGCGGGTGAGCGCGCGCAGGCGCTGGGACGCTTTGCGCGCGGCGTCCGCAGCTCCGTCAGGATCGAAAGCAGAACGGCCTGAACACGTGAGAGATGCGAGCAGAAGCTGATGGCCCTTGAGCTCCCAGATGCCATCTCGCAGCCCCCATCCCTGAAGGCGAAGGAGGTCCAGAAGTGGGTCGCCTTGGCCAAGGGAGGCGGCGGGCTGCCAGCCTGGTTTCGGACAGTGCTATCAGAGGGGGTGGAAGAGCGCGGGCGTCAGGACTCTCAGGCCAGAAGTAAGCCTGGCGTGAGTTCGGGGCATCGGCAGCTGAAGGCTCTGGAAAGCTGGCCCATGCGATTGCTCGGCCCAAAAGGAGGAGGCGCCAACTCTAGCCAAGGGCCAGCCACACAGACTGATCGGAGCGGCAGCTATCACTGCAGCGTTGGAAGAAGGGGAAGAGCAGTGGATCTCTGATGACAGGGTACAGGAGGTGGCGCCGTAAATGGTGGAACCAGGCCCATCGGCCTTCTGTGTTTTTGGGCGCGTACTTGGAGCCGCTGTAGGAGACGATATGTCAAGAGTTGGGAGGATTCGGTGGACGCCAATTCTCCGGGGGAAAGGATGCAGCAACCAGTTGCGACAAAGCGGCACACCTGCATAACGCGTTGGCGCGACATGCGAGACGGAAAGGTTTGCCGCGACAGCTGTGCTCTATGACACCCGCAAGTTCTGCAGGAACGCCAGTCATTAACAGTTGAGACAAGCAGCGGAGCACTACGGCTTTGACGGGGCACTGCCCGAGGCGCAGCGCTGCTTCTACCGCGCGCCTCGCAGAGCAAGGTGGACGGGAAGGACCAGCAGGGTCAGTTACCCGAGCGGAATGTTTGTGGCAGGATGCAGCGCAGCAGCGGCGGTGTTTCAAGTTGATGGCGTTATGCCTCCAAGCGCTTGGCAGTGGAAACCCCGCCGTGCCGAGCTCTGAACGTAGTGGGCGACTTGACGACGCACGCCATCGGAGGACCGCGGACAGCGGTCGCGAACACGATTGCCAGCTTCGAGATCGTTACTTCGGAGTTGGAACCGAGGAAGTTGCCAATCAACTGGGACAAGACCAAGTGCATGATGTCTGACCACGGCCAACTACCTGAATTGATGCAGGACTCCAGGTGGAGGCTCTCAGACGACAAGCCTGTCGCCACCCACCGCGACCTCGTCGGTGACTCGTTGGACGGCAGAGCTCGACGAGTTGGCGCGCAGGCGTCGAGGTGCGCAGCAGCGCGCAGCATGGAGTGGCTTTGAGACAACTCGGGCAGAGTGAAAAACATAACCGTGTCTATCGTGCTGGCGCGCTTACTAAAGCCACGCGGGGATCCCATATGTTGGGGAATCCGCCGACCACCCTCCATGAGCTACGGGTTCAAGCTGCGACGGGGGCCCCCCCCTCCCGGGCACGCCCCTGGGCTCCAGGTGTCTGTCGGCCTCCCGCCTCTGGATCAGGGGCCCGCTCATGGTGGCGGTGGCATCGGCTGCAAAGGAATTCGTCAGTGTCTGGTGGGCCCGCTCGATTCCCAAACAAGTGTTAGAGTCCTGTGTTCAGGGCGACCAGGCGGTCCAGGGGTGCAGGGCCCCCTGGGGTCAGGTCCGTCAGCCCGCTGCTGCGCTTGCCCCGCAGCTTGCTCGGATCCACTGGGCGCCCGATGTTTCGAGGATGGCCCTGGTGGATGACCTCCAAAGAGAGTGGTCGATCGATCGCTTCTCGCCCAAGTTTGCTGCGCCCCTTCCGCGCGGCTCGATCGCTCGGGCCATTTAACGGGAAGAGCAGCTGAAACAATTCGACTTCGGTCAGTGGCGCGGCCCTGTCTTCTGGCTGCCCATTCACCAGCTCCTCGGGCGCAAAGGCTCGAAGGCTTGGACTAAATCTCACAGGGCGGCACTCTCGGCGCTCGCAGCGAATGCGCACTGGTGCCAACACAGAGTTTGCGAGCACAGCCCCGGGGCCCCCGACCAATGTCAGCTCTGCAGCGACGACAAGGGCACCCTGTACCACCGCAGGTTTCAATGTGTAGCTTTCGCCCCCTGGCGCCGCGAGAGGCTGGATCCCGTCGTTGCGGAGGCGGCTCGACGAGCCGAAATCCCCCGACCTCGGTGGGGGAGCTTCTTTGTAGATGTCCGTTTCCCAGCCCCGCGCCCCGGGCCAGGACCCCTTCCCGAGACCCTTTGGACCCGCGCACCAGGCACTGGCAGCGGCCTCAAGATGGGCCCCTCTTCGCCCATGAAGGGGCCCACATTTTCACGGATGGCTCGGGTTTTGAAGGGATGCTTCCAGGACTCAGGACCGCGGGGTGGGCAATCGCGCCGCTCGACAGCCAAGGTCGAACCCTCGCTGCATTGTTTGGAGTTGCGCCCCCCTCGAAGCACCAGAACTACTGGCGCGGCATGGAGAAGATTACGCTGTGCTGATGTTGTCCCGCAGGGCGGTCCTAGCCCAGAATGTCTCCTTGTATGTGGACTGTGCGGCCACGGTCGGCTGCCTCCGACACCTCACGGGGGCGGCTGGCGCCTCGTCGGCGCGGGCTGACTGGCGGGCCGAGATCGGGGACCGTCTGGACGGCATACAAGTGTTTAAATCCTCTCGCACACCTCGATGGTTGATGTGGGAGAAGGACGCACCACGGACTTGCACAGATTTGGGAATTCTGAGGCCGACCGACTCGCGAAGGAGGGGGCCGAGCAATTCCGTGCCTCCTTGAACGACAGACCCCCGATCAGAGGATCCATGGAGTTCGTGCGCCGCGCTGGAATGTTCTGCGCCGGCCAGCAAGTGGGGCGCAGGGAATTGTGCATGAATGATCACATCGGATTGGAATGGCTACGCTACGTCCTGCTGGATGCTGTTCTTGGGCTGCCCCCCCCCACACCACCACCACCCTTCCCTGGGGCTTCTGCGACGGAGTCGGGAGCGCCTGGAGGCCCAGGGGGCCCTGGCCAGGCGGAGGGGCCTCCCGAGGCCCAGGGGTGCCCTATCGAGCGGCCTCGGGAGATCCCGCCCCCCCCCGACCTTGGGAGCCCGGTGCCATCTGGGGCGCGCTTTGGAGCAGGGTGATGCGCATGAGTCGGATGGTCTCACGTTTCATGGCACGATGCTCTGTTGCACAGCATGCGGAGCGATTGCACTTTCCAGCACGAAACGGGGAAACCTGCGTTCGAGGCGTCGGTCCTTGGCCTCCTGGGGCCGCACCTTTTACTTGGGCAAGTTTCGTGCTGGACGATATCCAGCCCAGAGACTGACGATGGCGCGCGTAGGGCGCCCCTTCCCTGAAGTCAAGTGGGGGCGGGCCTTTTCTTTCTCAGCCTGTCTCCAGGGCCTTCAGGGACCCCCGAGGGCGAGGGGGGCCACCAGGCCCAGCGGCCGCGGGCGCGAGGCCCCCGCCGTGGACCTCATCAGGGCCTCGCGCTGATCGGCCTCGGCCGCGAGGACCTGGAGGCCCGGGGGCGGGAGGCGGAGGCCAGGCGGGCGCGCGGGGAGGGACCTGAGGACGAGGATCTCCCCAGCGGCCCCGCCTAACTCATTTTTTCTTTCTTGCGCATGTCAAATGCGGTCGTGCCCTTTCACGGTCGCGGGCGTCCTCCGCCTCCTCCTCCTCTTCCATCTCCTCCTCCTCCGCCTTCTCCTCCACCGCCTCCTCCTCGCCCTCCTCTTCGGCAGTGCTGCTGGACGTTGGGGCCTCCTGTCGGACGGCGGCCGCTGTTCCACTCCGCGCGGCAGCCTGCCTAGCGAGGCTTCGGGTTGCGCACGGGCAGGCCCCTTCGGGCAGCCCCGGCTGGCTCGAGCAAGCCCCCCGAAAATTCCGGGCCGGCCTCGAGGCTCCCAGGCTGCTTCCGGCGGCGCCCCTGGGGCCTGCAGGCGCCCCGCGCCACCAGGCTGCATGCGGCGTTGAGACCGCCCCGGGCTGTTCGGGGGGCCTGTTGAGGCCAGCAGGGTCTACCTGTGGGGGGGTTCAAGCAGTGGCGAAACGTCTTGGCTCCCCCATAGCCCTACCAAACTATGTTCTAAGAACGTTCTAACAACATTTCGTGGTAGGACTATGGGAATGCCGGGACCGTCGGCCCCTGCGCAAGGGTTGGCAGAGCGGCGTCGCGTGTCCTTCCTTGTCGACCTCCTTTGGGCCGCCGGCTCCGCGCCGCTGCCGCACCCCCTGCCATGCTGCCCCCGCTCCGCGCGTTCGGGCCGCGCGGCATCAGACGCGCAGCCCGCCGCGCCGTCCAGGGGCCCCCCCGGCGGCGCGATGATGCCACGCGGTCCGTCACCGCACCGTCTGGGGATTCCCCACCCCGTCATTCGGGGGAGCTTGGGCCGCACCTGTTTGCAGGGCTGCCCAGCGCGCGCCAGGCCCACCTGGCGGCCGCGCAGCGTCCGTGGGTCGGGGCCAGTTCAGGGCGGGACGCATCGACCCCCACTCGCCCATGCAACGCCGATGCTTGCCCGGGAACGTGTGGAATCAAGCTTGGGGCACGCCGATATATCGATAATGTCTCGTCGGTTCCAAGTCGATGGTGCCGCCCCGACCTTCAAACGTGCGCCAAGCCAATTTGGCGGCCACGCAGCGTCCGTCGGGCGCCGAGCCGCCCGCAAGGTGGCTCATCCCCACCGCAGTTTTCTTCTCCGACGGTCCGCCTTGTGTGTGTGCTCGCACAGCAGGTGCGATGATCGATCTTGCTCGCTCCATGCTGCCATGGCCGCCGTGGGCACTGCGTCCATCGGGTTTCCTCTTCCTCATCCTCCTCCTCCCGTTCACCGCCCGTCATCTGACCACCTGGTCTGTATTTGCCGCGACAGTCATCCCAAGTTGAGGCTTCCCGCAGGCAGCTGCGGAGATGAAGCCCGAGGAGCTGACCAGTGTACCCAAGAGCGGCGAGACGGTTGCGCTACAG